ATTTAGGAATGTTTTCCGGGCTTTGAAGCCGTGGTCTATGGGAATTTCTTCCTGACGTTTCGTCCACAACTGCGGTGGACATTATCAAAGGCGATTAGGCAGTGGGCGAAGTGATCTCCCGTGCTTTCCGACTAAGACTGATTCAAACGCTTCGGCGCACATGCTGTTTGGCGCAAAAGGCTCTTCCAATCTGGATTGAGTGCCGTAATTTCTTCTTTTCTGTTAAAGTTGTTTTGGTGTTTAAATATTTCGATGGCCTCTCTGGTGAGTCTCGGGTAGTATCTTTCAGATTGGTGCAGAATGTCAACTTCGTCGAAGCGTATTTGGTGGCCGTCTAGCAGTGCGTGCTCCGCTACTGCTGATTTTTTCGTTTGTCCCAATCTGCAACTTCGTTTGTGCTCCGTGATCCTAGTGTTTATGCTTTGTTTTGTGGTGCCGATGTATGCTCTTCCACAGATGGGCGGAACTCTGTAGACTCCTGGTGCTGATAAAGGATCCCGTTTGTCCTTGTTAAATGAACTGAGCACGAAATTTCAGCCGTTGTCATACAGTAATATATATTATAAATATTTAAAATTTTATGTCAATGCCATTTTTGTAATTGTCATCTTTTGGCGTTTATAATTTTTCAAAAGCGTACTTTTGTATGCATGTGCTGTTGAAACAGTGAGTGTTGATAATTGAAGTGCTTCTTTCACAGTTTGGTGTTTGTATAAGATGCATATTTTGCAAAAATTTGCGATCTTTTGAAAAATCGTGTTTTGCTTGTGGCAACATCGGCGAGCACAAAAAAAATAGATCATTTGAACGACTTTGAGATTCAACTTGCAACAAAGTTATAATTTACAAATTGTAAATAAACTTTAAATTATGATCAACAGGTGCCTATAAACTTCCGTAAATCACTAAAAAAGCATGTCGGTTACTTTTTAATGAAAATACTTTGAGAAATATTATGACAGTGACATGTTCAATTTGTCACATTTACATTTGCGCACGTGTGCGTAGATGTCCGTGCGGAAAAATAAAACAAATGAACAGTAGGGAAAAGTGCTTCTTTTTGATCATCGCTTCTAACCGAAAAACATTTTTTGATGAAATTAAAAATCAGATTTAAAGATGAGTTTTTATGAATGAAATGCCTCTCGTTAAGAGTTAAGACATCAACATCGAGTTGAAATTCAGCAGATAAGAATTGTTCTGCGTAATGAAAATGCATTTTAGCTTTAGTTTTTAATTCTTGATAGTTCTTCGTTATCAAACAAACGTTTTTTCAAAAGCAAGTCTATAATAAACCCACTTGTAACTATTTCTGACTAATGTTCCATATATTAAACTATAATAACTAATATAATATCTAAATAAAATAAAATATCTAAATTTAAAATAAAAACCAAACTGTTAATTACTATTATAAAGGTGTTTTTTGTTTGTGGTTAAGACAGCATAAAAGCATGAGGATCTGTGACGTTTATCTTTCATCTTTCGACGTAAGTCCACTCATTTCCGTAACTAAAACAACTTTAAATCTACATTTTGAGTACATACAATTTCATAAAATTTTAGAAAAATTCTTCTCATTTCAATAAAAGAAATGAGTTCATTCTTATGGCAAAAAAAATAAAGTATTATATCTAGAACACTAAATTTGAGTAAACTTGCTGAAGTTTTTAAGCAGGGTTTCTTTGGATCCCAATTCCGAAATATATTTATTACAAGTGTTTGATTGGCGCGGAGAAAATAATATATCCGGCAATACAGGGTGATTCAAAATTGGCGTCATTCCTCGGAAGGTGTTGTCCGGCTGTGTTTTAAGAGTACAAAAAAAATTGTAAAAAAATTAGCTGTTGTTAAAAACTGAGAAATTTGCAAAAAACTATATTAGAAAAACGTCATCAATGTTTTCAAGGTAATCTGGCTAATTAACATTACGTAAATATCTGCTTCGTAACTATTTAAAACGGTAAATATATATAAATACAGAAAGTGACAATAAGATAGACAAGGATAAGCGGAAATTTTAACAGGAATCGTTGAATGACGGAACCTATTTGGAAACTCATAACCTAGTATTATTAATTTGTTAACAAATTACAAAAACATACTGTGTGTGAGTGTGTAACTCCACACAAGTGCCTGTGTAATCACCTTATTATGCGCCTTATTATTCTCGAGCAGCTTCTCGTATTTGAGTTCGTATTACATACGTGGTCGGTTGTGCAATGTTCTGAGTGCCCCTGTAAGGCTCTGCTGCAATTATATCCAATACTTGTTCCTCTGTGTCTGGAACCCGAACATCTATTGTCGTCCACTATCTTCCTGGAACCACTCTCCTTGCCCTTTGTTGGCGTGAGTTCTTTCAGTTTACCCTTTGTAGGCGTGACTTCTTTCAGTTTCTGCTATGTTACTGTAGCATTTCCCCTGAACTAATCGCATATCCGCAAATTTGTGAAAGGAAATTCAAAGTAAGTCACAGTTTGACAAATTATTGTTGTTATTGACAAGGGCTGTCCACCTGTAACTATCCGTTAATGCCAAAAAACATCATTCCCGCTTTGACTTTTCATCAAAACATTGTAGAGGAGAAATTTTTAAATATAAAAAATTTTTGTCATTTGAAACAAAAGTCGTAATTTTCCTTTTTGAATGCTTAAGTATTCCAATATTCTTCCAACTAGACATGGAACACTTTCAAATAATGCTTAATAACAAAGTTGAAATCCGATTTTCAACTGTTAATATCTTCTAGAAATTATCGATAAAAAAATTTTCAATATTTTTCTCGTGCTCTCCAAGTGAGCCCCTATTACTCCTTAAAAGAAATGTCGCCAATTGTGAATGACCTTGTATAGTATAGCTCATTAATATCACTAAAATCGAGATTAGAATCACAGGGAATATTTTCAGCTATTATTACGGAAGCGTAAAAAGTTTTATTGCTGGAGATCGTGCCTAAGGAATCTGAAAAAGATTCCCTGTCATCTTTATTTTAGCTGGAACCCTTCAGCCATTTAAAATATTGTGAAACACAAATGAGTTTTAAATTATTTTTAACATGAAAGGCATTAGGAATTACTTGCTTACTCCGCAGAACAATGTGAAAATTATCCAAAACAATCTTGTAAAAATCGGCCAGTCTAAACAAATTGGTAGCCACTTCTCTCCAACAAAAGTTTTCGTAGGTCTAAAATCGATTTTATAAAAATTAAAATTTCGGTTTGACAAGGCTTCCATAATTTCTTAATGCCAATTACCAGTACATTCATAATTTCCATAAAATTAGTGAATAATTAAATAACTTTTAAAGATTTTCGGTTTGATATAGTCTATGGGCCAGCCCTTAAAATTAACAAAATTGAGAACTAATTAACTAAAAAATACATCAACTTACGGACCAATAATATTTTATTACCTACTATCAATTAATATATTATTGCTCGGACACTAGGCCAACTATTCAGTGTAATTAATTCATTATGCTAACAGAAATATAATATTGTCCAAAGATCGGTACTTAATGGCAAGATTATCATAACTCATTTAGTCTACACTCATATGTCCCTATAAAAGTCAGCCAGCGTTAGTAAGTGTAACATAATACAAGTTAAACTTTCATAATGGCGATTCTAGTCACGTGGAGTCCTTGACCAATAGAAAAGCGGACTAACCATTGTCGCCACTGTGATGTATAGAGTCACTGTAGTGCGCACAATCTTGATGTTACTATAACATGTCCCGATCTACAATATTTATTTCGGGTTGACTTCCAGTATTTCAAATTTTAAGATAAATCTCTCCAAGAAATTAAATACATACATGGTGATTAAAAATTGGCGTCATTCCTCTGGAGATGTTGTCTGGGGCAGTTATGGGAGTACAGAAAAAATAGTAAAATAAATTAACTGTTATTAAAAACTGCGAAATTGGAAATAACTATATCAGAGATACGGCAGCAATGTTTTTCAAGGTAATCTGCCTAATTAACATTACGCAAATACCTGTTGCTCCGTAATTATGCAAAACTGCGGCAACCATGGACTTATACAAAGTGACAATAAAATAGACAAGGATAAACGGTCAGCTCAACAGAAATCGTTGAATGACGGAACGTACTTCCAAAATGTCAACCTGTTCTCATAACCTCGAATTCTGCGGGGTTTGGTGATTACATAAATAATTCATACAACACCAAACATTTGAATGGTTAACTCCAAACAAGCTAGTGCCTGTGAATTTCCTTATTACCCACTCTTATCAAGCAGCTTCTCGTATTCAGTTAATTAACTCTTGCTCCATTTGTATCTTCTTGTGCTGGGTGTATCGTACAAACGTGGTAGGAACGTAGCCCTTCCTCGGGATTTATTTGGTGCTTGGGAAAGTGTTAGTTATTATGCTCTCAGTGCCCCTGGAAGGCCCTGATTCAATTATACCCAATACTTGTTGCTCAGTGCCTGGACCCCGAACATCTATTGTCGTCCATTATCTTCCTGGAACCACTCTCCTCGCCCTTTGTTGGCGTGAGTTCTTCCAGCTTCTGCTATGTTACTGTAGCATTTCCCCTGCACTAATCGCATGTCCGCAAATTCGTTAAAGGAAATTCAAAGAGTTTCAAGTCACAGTTTGACAAATTATTGTTATTATTGACGAGGGCTATCTACCTGTAACTATCTGTTAATGACAAAAAACATCATTGCCGCTGTGCCTTTTTATCAAAAAATTGTAGAAGAGAACTTTTTTGATATCAAAAATTTTCGTAATTTAACGCAAATATCGTAATTTTTCTTTTTGAATCCTTTAGTATTCCAATATGCTACCAATTAAACATGGAACAATTTCTAAATAATGCTTAATAACAATGTTGAAATTCGATCTTCAACTGTTGTAATCTTCTAGAAATTTTCGAAAAAAAAAATTCAATATTTTTCTCGTACTCCCCAAGGGAACCTCTATAACCTCTTAAAAGGAATGACAACAATTTTGAATCACCCTGTATATACAGGAATTATAAATTGCAAGAGTTAACTATTAACTGAAATCTCAAATTTTCGTTGTAAAAATACACCTGAAAAATTTCGTTATTACGAAAATCGCGACTCATTTAAGATCTAAATTTCTTGAAAAATAAATTTTTAGTTAACTAAGATTCGTCCGTCCATATTATATTACAAACAAAATTTGGAATTTCTTCAATTTTTAGTATTACAGTTTTACAGAAAGAATTTCGCTTGAAGAAATGGGATTGCCAAATGTACCAGTAGCAGCAGTATGGTCTAGATTTATTTTTTAAGAATAAAACTGATAATTGTTGGTGTCAAACCAATTCCAATTTTCGCGTCGTTTATGGAATTGTAAGAATAAGCAAGGAAATGCGCTAAAGTGGTTATCTTATTTTGCTCGTTATTATCAGCAGTTTTACTTCTAGATGCAGTATTTATGTAAATGTGCCAAACCGTTCCAGATTTTGAACCAGACGTGTTGCAGTATCAACTGATGGTCAGGGACGCTCTGAATAGCGTTCGATAAAAATGTTTTCTGTTCGGACTACAATGTATGACATTCTCCGTTAATGAGTATTAAATTTAAGTGATCTTGATTTGAAAGTCCAAGTCGAGCCTTTGAGTCAGATTAACAGAAATTTATAAAAATTTTAATTAAATAGAGTTTAGTTAGTTTAGTTTAGTTTAGTTTAGAATTAAAAAATATGTTGTTTCACATAAATTTGCGTGCCAAAAAGACAGAATACGAAGTAGTGACGCTCCTGTACCAACATAATCGACTTAACATTTTAAGTAAAGCTTTATTTATAATTAAGCTACGTAGATAGACTACAAAATTGGATTTGGTAAATATTTATTTAATTCTTCAAAAAATTCGAATTCACAAAACTTTTGCTGAACTAAGGGACGATTTTGAATTTTCCGCAAGTACAACAAGTAGAATTTTTTAAAATCAAAAATATATTTAATAAAAATATGATATACCAATGCCAGCATAACCTACCTTCATTATTTAACTCTAATAGATCGCAAACAGAAATAATGCACTAATATGAGATTCTGTGCAAACCTGTCTGACTAAACCTAAATCAGAACTCGTAAATTCAAGAAAATCGCCAACACAATCGGTGCCAGGAGCTATAATGTGTAATGCTATAAATTTACTTAATCCGATTTTAGCTATATTAACCGCAACTAGGTCAATATCGCCCAAAGTGTACATATTAATATTCCGATTAAGTCAGATTTTTGATGAAAAATGTCAGGATTTTTTACCTAAAAGCGAAAGAACGACTTTCGGCGAAATAGGTCGTAATCCTGCGTCTATCTGTACGTGGGAATTTGTGATATTACTTCATGAAAATTAAGCATATATGAATTGTCAATTCGCGTCTGCTTTTACGGCAAACTAAACTAAAACGTCAATTTCTCTTCAAATCTCTTAAAATTAAAGCACCTGCTTACCACGCGATATGACTGACATAACGAATGAGCGCATTTACCATTGACTCCTCCAAAGTCACAGAAACACCTTCAGTCCACTATCCACCAGTCAGTCCTAATTAGTACAGCTCTTTCGCAATCGCCACCAAAAAATATAATTCAACAGCCAAAGTTGTTCGTCATTCTGTCCACCCTTTCGTTTATAAATGCACTTCTCGTCTTCCCTGTGTCTATCCCTTCGTGTTCCCTACGTCTATACCGGTAGACTATTCCTTCGTCGATGCCGGTTGACTATTCCTTCCTCTGTCGCTTTGTTGATGCTGGAATCTTTTCGATTAAATGGACTTTTTTTAATGGATGTGCGCGCCTTTCTTCAAACTAGCGTCTTTTCGGCATCGTTTCGTCTTTATGTCTTCTGTTGATATTTCCCGTTACTATGGTTACATGATTGGTAAATAATGACGAATAGTGGATATATATTAAATTCCTACAATACATTAGCGGATTAAAATGGAGGTTCTGCAGTCCTTTCCTTGGTCGGATGATACCATTCAATAAAGTTCCCCAGGGCTGTATAATTATAACAAAGTGTTCAAGGAATATAGAACCATTAGACCTTAATTCTGAGCTTAGCATGAGCGTTGGGAATTGCAGTCCACTGCTTACTACAAAAATTCAATAAATTTGTGATGAAAATAAACTATTCATAGGATCTCCATCAATTTTATTTTTAGTGATCGTCAGCTATGAACTGGCTGCAACCATAATGGAATGTGCAAAAGAATTAAATATGGTAAATACCCAAACGCAATGGCTGTATGTAATATCTGATACGAATAGCTCCACCAAGAGTATGAACCGGTTCAAAACCTTCTTGAATGAAGGAGATAACATTGCCTTCATATATAACACTACGGATGTTAAAAATGTATGTCTCGTAAGTAATTTATTGGTATTTTAAAACTGTCAGTTAACTATAAATTGTCCTTAAGCTTTCGTTTATTAGAACCAGCTTTTTTGTAATAAGAAATTCTCCTTTTCCTATAACGCTGTCGCCATTGTTTTGTAGGGTGGCACTATTTGTCATACTGAAGAAAGTATAACTGGTTTAATGAAGGCTTTAGATAGTGCCATTATGGAAGAATTTCAAATGGCTTCTCAAATTTCCGAAGAAGAATGGGAGGCTATTCGACCTACTAAAAACGAGCGTAGGAAATACTTGCTTGAAAAAATTCAGGTAAACATTTGCTGCATATGAGCATGTACTGGGTGGTTTAAAACTGGCGCCATTCCTTTTATGGGGCTAACGTGGAGGGAAGAAGATCTTAACCGTTGAAAATCGAAATTCAACTTTCTTATTAAGTATTATTTCGAAATAATCTCATGTTGATTGATAACTTATTGCCAAAATTTCCATTTTTACTCCAAATTATGAAAACATTTGATGTTAAAAAAGTACTATTCTACCATTTTTTTATCAAAATTGAAAGTGGCCATGTACAGTTTGCAACTGTATAGCATAATGTATCAGTATGGCAACCAAATATGCGGGATTGACAATATAGAGATTTCTTTGAAAGTTGTTAAGTTCAGATTTAACCTTTGTTCTTGTAATAGCTACATGTACGAGGTAGCGTAAAGCCATAAGACCGTGCTATACAACGCCTGTCCTAGTATAGCCGGGTCGCATTATTGCATGGATGTATTGCATTGCTCATATGGAGAATGCATTCGTGTGAATAAGTCCGTTCCACTAATCATTACTAAGCCATTACCTAAGTAGTATCAGGAGTGATTCAACTAAAATTGGTCTGTATTGTCAAAAATTCAGAAGACTATCGATAATTATTTTTTACCTCCTTGTTCCACTCACTTGAACTTGAAGATGATGGGACAACTACTCCCGAACACTTCGTGATTGGAACTTCTTTGCAAGCTGTGCCTGAGTTGCCGGTTGGACCGACAAAACTGCACAGGGTTCTCGAAATCAACACATGAAATTCCTCATTCAGCAATTTTGCTCCCACTGGTCACGTGTCAAACTACGAAGGCTGCAGATTGCAGCACTGACCCGATCTAAGTGGAGGACAAACAAAAACTCTAAGCTGATGACAGGATCTTTAATTATGCTGCATGGAGGGAGTGTCCCAGCTCCATGCTGACGGACTGATAGAATCGAAGAGTTATATGCCGGAAATGACAAACTTGTGCGGGTAGTAACGGCTAATACCAAAAATGGACTGTTTAAACGTTAGTTTTGCGAAAATTTCCGTTCAAGCTGTAGAATTTCAAAGCTTGTGATTATGAACCTGTTTTTATGTTATGTTTTTAATTGTTAAGTTCAAATATAGTCTTTATACATAACATCATATTTAATACATTGAACAGCAAATTAAATAATGGTAAATGAAAATACAGCGCACTTTTTAAACATTCCATCAAGGAGGGCGATTTGCGCATCGCTGTTAGTCAGGAGTCCCATAATCCCACAAGCAACGAAGTTTTTTTGTGATTAACAGATCGTTACAGGTAGATAGATTTTGTCAAGAATAACACGCATTTTTCTAAACGTGACTTAGTTTGAAGCTTCTTTCACAAAATGTACACCAAAATAGAATACGTTAAAATACTTTCCGTTACGGGGGAATGCCACAGTAACATAGCTGAAGCTATGTTATTAGAAGCACTTACGCTTACAATAGGTTAGAGACACGATTGCCTGCAGGAAATCAGGCAGAATAGTGGACAACCAAGAGATGTTCAGATTCTCGTCCTAGAGGAACAGCAATTGGATATAATTAGTGCAGATCGGAGCATTTTTCATTCACTGACACGTTCTCAGGCAAACTACGTGCCAAATGAATTCCGATAAAGGGCTAAATTTCTACCACGTATGTAAGATACAGACAACAGAAGGACATACTAAATTTCTGTTCTTCCGAACGACGGTACAAAGTGAGCATGATTTTATTAACCGAAAATGGAAGCTGCTCGAGGAGAGTACAGAGGCATTACATAATTGCACGAGCACATACTTGTGTGGAGTTAAACACAGAATGGTTTACATCAATTTGACGCTATGCTAGCAATGAAAGAACAGTTGCTAATTGCCAATATTGACATTTCGAAAAGGCCACCTATTGCACTCATCAGTAAGACGTAGGCAGACCCGGTCTTATACGTAGTGGTACGGATTATTCATTTTCGGATGTATTTCAAGCGAGAAGGCGGCTTTTGCCAGGAGAGGTTTGGCTGCTGCCATCTCGTTAGCTGGTAGATGAAACCTCATACCATTTACCCTGACCTGTTTCATTGTCCCTTTTTTTATTTTTCTATGGTTACTTTAACTTTTGATATTTAAGAAGCAACAGGTGTTTACGTAATGTTAATGAGGCAGATTACCTTGAAAACATTGATACGGAACCTCTGCCAAAATCTGAGTTTGTCAATAAGAATTAATTACTTAGTTACTGCTAACTTAATACTTTACTCATTTTTCCCTAAACACATTCAAACGAATGAGGGCAATTTGCAATAACCCTGTATAGAATATTTTAAACTGGCTGACGCCGTTTCAGAAATACCTGTCTGATTATGGAACGTGTGACAATTGTACAAAATGGACAATTGAAGCAGGAGAAACTTGGGGTAGAGAATACCAGATGCTAGATGAGGCAACTAATGCTGAGCTATTAGCTGTCGGAACTTGGAGGCCCAGCGATGGCCCCAATATGATCGATGCCCTGTTTCCACATGTTGCCCATGGATTTAGGAGAAAACTGTTGCCTTTGGTAACTTTTCATGTAAGTTGCATTTTGAAGGGTTCGTTACAGTTACTTGGATATTATTCAAGATGGCTAGTCAAACATCAAGCCAACATGATTTTATAGCAGCTTAACGCGCTTTTGTACATAACGCTTAACCGTGTCTTTGCACAAAAGTGTGAAATGTTTATTGAAAAATAGGAAATTTATCCTAGTGAAAAATCTCTGAGTTAAATGCAGAACATCGTAGGAGCCAATATACGGAGTGTTTAATTTGCTAGCTGCAACTCTAAGGTGTGATTGCGTAAGGTAACCGCCGAAAAAAGCCTATTTTAAAACGTGCTTGAACTTCAATTAAACATGCCGTTAAAACATATGTTATTTTTTGCGGTTGTCTGAGCTTACTAGAAGAAATTGGGGGATATTCCCCACAAATCAAGCTTTTTCCTAGAACGCGTATTGATAATCAGATCCATTTTTATTGTTATATGAACCTAAAATCATCTATAAAACACTAGGTATACACTGGCACAACTTTTCTAACATCCCAGGATTTTGTCTGCAATAGTGGCACAATAAAATATGCCATTGTTGTACTAGGTGTTGTACCCTCCCCACACGGCGACAATTCCCGGAGCACTACACCTGTACTTAGTACTGCCAGTATTGAGACTTGATATCGATGTAGAAATGTCAAATGCAATATCGACACTTGTGCCATCTAGCAATTAGAGCAGTTAACTTTGTGCCGATAGTGTACGATAATGAAACATATAAAATCAAATGACATGAGGGGATTAACTTAATTTCGCATGTTTTCAGTTGTGCTATTATTGCACCCGGTGAGCGAGATTATTTACAGCTTTACTCCGAACAATATGTTAGAGGCGCATCTTGCTTCCTCAATGTTCAGTCTGTTATGAATAATTTTTTAGAACCCACATTATTTAATTTGTTATTAATTAAATTTTACTAATGTTGTTGATTTAATAAAAAACTTGTTTCTGAAATACTAATTGATCTATTTTTACTAGACATTCCTGCTTGAAAGTGGACGGTTATAACTACGACTTTTATAACTACGATGCTTTAATGAACTACGAGATGATAGGCGCATACTTTCTCAAATATGCTATTTTTCTAGAATCCACCATGGCAAATCTTGAAAACAAATTCTACTGGTGATGTCGTTGAATATGGGGGAATAGTATTTAACATCATTAAAGAACTGTCAAAAAATCTCAACTTTACATTCAACGTTGCCACTGTCAAGCCTCAGTCACTGCTTAATGCGTCCACATTGCAGAGCCCTAAGGGGGATACTGATTCTTCAGCAAATTTTAACGGCAACTCCTACATAACAACATACCGGTAAGAGCATTAGAATTATACTGTATGAACGGATATTGAGCAAATAGGCGTTAAATCAAAATTTCCGCTTATCGCTCAGGGTGCCCCACCGGAAACCGTCGCGACAGATATCTGGCAAACTGTAATTAGGAGAAATTTAACAATTGGACAGTGTGCCAAAGTCATTAAGGACAAGTGATTACAAACATTTCATGTAACAAATGACAGTTGCAGTCATTCGAATAATTATTCATTTTTTGTTTAAGGAAATACCTACCCATGTGCCACTTGATATGGTTCGCATTTCTTGTTGAAAAATACTTACCTTAATGATATTTAGACATAGTTTTGGTAACTAACAAGTGTGAATATAAGAAGTTTCAAGATTACATTGCGAAAACCGTCCCAAATATTTTTTTTTTAAATGGAAACCCGCATTTTTTTTTATTCATTATTAAATATAAGGGTGAGTTTGTGTAAACTTGTCCATTCCAAAAGTTTTCTAAATATTGTACGTTTACTATTTTCATATGGCTGTTTTGTCACTTTTAGTTGCCATGACAAAACTGGCCATTTCTAATACAATCAACTGCCAAAGGAATACTTACAGCGGTCAGTCACCTTTTGAAAATAATTAATAATCATGCCCGGACGCTTAACTTATACAAACAAAAATTATTTAAACTGGTTTATTATTTCGGAAGTATGTGATAAAGATATACAAGGTGATTCAAAATTTTCGTCATTCCTTTTAAGGGGTGATGGAGGCTCACTTGGGGAGTGCAAGAAAAATATTGAAATTTTTTTTTTCTAAAATTTCTTTATTTTAAATTTCTAGAAGATATTAACAGTTGAAGATCGAATTTCAACTTTGCTATTAAGCATTATTTTGAAATTGTTCCATGTTTAATTGGTAGAATATTGGAATACCTAAGCATTCAAAAAGAAAAATTACGAGCTTTGCTTCAAATTACGAAAATTTTTTATATTGAAAAAGTTCTGTTCTACAATTTTTTGATGGAAAGGCACAGCGGCAATGATGTTTTTTGCCATTAACAGATAGTTACAGGTGGATACCCCTTGTCAATAATAACAATAATCTGTCAAACTGTGAGTTACTTTGAATTTTCTTTCACGAATTTGCGGATCTGCGATTAGTTCAGGGGAAATGCTACAGTAACATAGCAGAAGCTGAAAGAACTCACGCCAACAAAGGGCAAGGAGAGTGGTTCCAGGAAGATAGTGGACAACAATCGATGTTCGGGTTCCAAGCACAGAGGAACAAGTATTGGACATAATCAAATCAGGGCCTTCCAGGCGCACTTAGAGCACAATAACTGACACTTTCCCAGGCACCAAATAAATACCGGCTACATCCCTACCACGTTTGTACTATACACACAGCACAAGAAGATACAAATGGAGCACGAGTTAATTAACTGAATACGAGAAGCTACTTCATAAGAGTGGATAATAAGGATATTACACAGGCACTAGTTTGTTTGGAGTTAACCATTCAAATGTTTGGTGTTGGATGGATTATTTATGTAAGTACCAAACCCCGCAGAATTCGAGGTTATGGTTGACAGGTTGACATTTCGAAATAAGTTCCAGCATTCAAAGATTCCTGTTGAATTTACCGTTTATCTTTGTCTATCTTATTGTCACTTTCTATTTATCCATGGTTACCGGATTTTTAAATAATTACGAAGCAACAGGTATTTGCGCAATGTTAATTAAGCAGATTACCTTGAAAAACATTGCTGCCGTATTTCTGATATAGTTTTTTGCAAATTTCTCAGTTTTTAATAACAATTAATTTATTTTACTATTTTTTCTGTACATCTATAACACCGCCAGACAACACCCCCAGAGGAATGACGCCAATTTTGAAGCACCCTGTATGTATCAAGACCATGTCACATTTGCATTCGATATCCACAAAAACAGAAGGCTTTACGCTGTGCTGTTAATTTGGTCGTCTAATTAATGACGCGTCTAAATAACAGTGCATTTTCAATTTTTAAAAGCAACCAGAAAGATTTGAGATCTCTAGATTAGAAAAAACTGGTTTCTGTTCTTGAATAAATATAATTGATGTAATAATAATAATTAATAATACGTAAATGGTTATTCAATCAATCAGTTTAAATAATCTTCGTTTCTATAATTGAGGCGTCTGGACATGCTATGAATTATTTTCAAAATGTAACTAATAGCTGTAGGTATTCCTTTGCAAGTTGGTTGTATTAAAAATGGCCACTTTTGTCATGGCAACTAAGAGTGACAGCATTTAAAATAAGATGCGACTAAATAGCTATATGAAAGTATTAAACTGACAATATGTATTTCAAAAACTAAACACTTTTAGGATAGGCAACTTTATACAAAGCACCTGTTTTGCACACCTTTGTGCTTTAGTGCGCTGAGGATTACTGCTTGCCTTTTTATTTCGCTTTTTATAGATGATTGATTGGATGATTGCTGATTTATTAATTTCTATTTATTGATTATTATTAGATTGACAACTTCACTTTTTCATTGTTACACACCAAAAAAACCAGCACAAAAATAATGATAGGACGCCGAACTGACACGTTTATAAATGTTCTATCCGCGCCAACATGCCGCCCGCCTTGAAAGCATCAGGTTTCAATGTCCAAAGGTAGTATGCACAGCTTCCTTGCAGGTCGTTGAATGGTGGAAGTAGCCGTTCTGACTGTAGCTGCCCTTACAATACCGTCCGACCCAGGTTGGAGGTAAGTCCTATAACTCGTTTGAGATGAAACTTTACACATCGAACTCCAGCCTCCCATAAGCCACCAAAATGAGGTGCCCTTGGCGGTATGTAGTGCCATTTTATGCCATCATTGTTAAGAGAAGAGTCTATGGTGTCTTTGTTTTTAGAGAGAAACTTTTGAATTTCATTTTTTGCACCCACAAAGTTGGTTGCATTGTCACAAAATATTTCTGCACTGACGCCACGTCTTGAAAAGAATCGTTTTAAACAA